AAATCAGAGGCTAAGGATGTTCTTCAGGGTTTCAGCTATAGAAGAGGGATGGTGGTTCGTTTTGATAGGAATGACAAAAGAAGATTGAGAGCTAGGTGTACCACAGAGGGGTGTGGGTGGCATATTTTTGTTTCACCAATGCAAAATGACTCATCTTGGCAGGTGAAGTGTTATGAGAAAAACCACAAAGGTTGTTCTTGGAATTATAATAATCCTACTAGCATCAAATCTGGGTGGATAGGGAAGAATTTCATGAAAAAATTTAAGTACCCTAAGTTAAGAGTCAATGAGTTTAGGGGTATGTTGTGTACCAAGTTGAAGTCCAATATTTCTAGGCAACAAGCCTACAGGGCCAAGAAGAAAGCAATGATGCTTCTGGATGGAACATTAAAAAAACAATTCAGTTCAATTAGAAACTATTGTTTAGAGTTGTTAAGGTCCAATCATGGTTCAACTGTTGTTCTAAAACTGAGCAATTGTGAAGAGCAATCTACACAACCTGTGTTCCAAAGATTGTATATTTGTTTTGATGCATGCAAGAAAGGTTTTAAGCACTGCAGAAAAATCATTGGGGTTGATGGGTGCTTCTTGAAAGGCCCCCAGGGTGGTCAACTCTTAACAGTTGTGGGCATTGACCCAAATAACCAGATTTTTCCTGTTGCTTATGCAATAGTTGAAAATGAGAATAAAGATTCTTGGTTGTGGTTTTTGAAGTTGTTAGAGAATGATTTAGAGATTGATAATGAACTTGCATGGACTTTCATGAGTGATAAACAGAAAGGGCTCATCCCTGCCTTTGAAGAGTTGTTCCCTAATTGTGAAAATAGGTTTTGTGTTAGACATTTACACAGTAACATGAAAAGAGATGGCTTTGTTGGTCAGTCTATAAAAAATCTTTTGTGGGCTGCAGCTAGAGCAACTAGGGTGGAAGTTTCTAGTGCAAAGATGAATGAATTGAAAGAATTGGATCCAAATGCTTATGACTGGCTGGTAAAAAAACCTCCTAGTCAATGGTCTAGGTCCCACTTCAAAACTTCACTGAAGTGTGACATTTTACTGAACAATATGTGTGAGTGTTTCAATTCTTTCATCTTGAATGCAAGGGACAAGCCAGTCATTGTGATGCTTGAGATAATAAGACACTTATTGATGGCAAGACTGCAAGTGAATAGAGATGCAGCTAAAAATTGGTCTGGGAAGATCTGCCCTAGAATAAAAAAGATACTTCAAAAAAACATGAAAGATGGTGCAGAGTGTATTCCAATGAAAAGTGATGATTGGAACTTTAAAATCATAGGCCCTTATGATCAACACACTGTTGATGTTGCTGGACTGAGTTGCAGCTGTAGAAAATGGGATTTGACAGGAATCCCTTGTAAGCATGCATGTGCTGCTATTTGGTGTAGACATGAAGATCCTGAGTGCTATGTTGATGACTTGTATAGTCAAAACACATACAGAAATGCATATGAAAATGCCATCATGGGAATTTCATGTTCTGAATTGTGGCCTACATGTGATTTACCAGCTCCTTTGCCACCAATATATGAAAATAGGCCTGGTAGGCCCAAAAAACTGAGGAGGAGACAACCTGATGAGCCTCCTGCTCCATCCTCTGAAACCAGGTTTAAGAAAGTTCAAAATTCAGTGAAATGTGGAAGTGTGGTAAACAAGGCCACAACTCTAGAACTTGCAAGAATCAACAGTCTGAAATTAGAACTCCAGTGGCAAGAAGCATGGGTGGCACTCATTCTCAGTCACAATCTAAGTCCCAGTCTCAATCTCAGTCTCAAGCTCAGTCTCAACCTCAGTCTCAATCTCAGTCTCAAGCTCAGTCTCAGTCTAAGCATCACTCTCAGTCTCAGAAAAGATCAAAGCTACCTGTAAGTATAATTTGATGAAAGTATTATTTGATTTGATTAGTTGTAACTTTTATTATTCAATCTCACTCTTCAATTATATGTAACTTTTATTATGTTGGAATGACACTGTCATTTGTAATTGTTTTGCACAAAATAGGTTAAGAGGAGGAGAGAGTCTGCCACAGTTGGTGGTGTTAACTTAAGTGGAGGCACAAACAGAGTGTCTTCAATTAATGTAAGTTTTTTTTTTTTTTTATCTTTTGTGCATGTTGTTTTTTCTCATATATATATGTATACAATATATAAGCTTGATAAATCAAATTTTCTACTGTTAGATGATGCAATCATCTTCTGGAACTGGACCAGTCATTGTGAAGGGAGGTGTCAACTACATTACCCTTTCTGGTTTAAGAGCTGTTGCTGCTGCTCAGGGGACTTCAAAGCAAAATGAGGGACAAAAATCCATTTGAGGATATGCTGAAGATGGAGAATGTATTCATTTGTATTGATTTATTGTTTGTGAGTGTTATGGACACATTATCTTGTGTGATGTTTTATGGACATGTTTGTGATGTTTTGTTAATTGTCTTGACAGACTGTTGTGTGTTGTTTTATGGACATGATTGATTGTTGTAGTGTGCACTGGAATAGAACCTTTGTTCTGTAGTGATGTTTTTTTGGGATGAAGCTTTGGTTTGGATGTGTTTTAGGTTTGTTTTCAGTTTTTGAAATCCTTTGTCTGTCCTTAATGGATGTAAAGCTTTGGCTAGAACCTTTGCAATGACTCTTTGTTCAGGTTTCGTTCAATGTTTGGTAACAAAGTGAACCTTTATTAAGTTTTTGTTCAGGTTTTGTGTGGTTTAGGAGTCTTCTTCATATTGCAAATACATAAAAATACTCATTGAAAACCAAATGCTGAAAATGGTACATTCTTTGCATAACAATATTCATACTGAAAATGGTACAGGAATTGCATAAGTAAAGCATTACATAATAACAATACTTAAAATTACACCAACCATAACTATCTAAATCTAGTTAGAACATAATTTGACAAGGTATAACAATGAAAGAAGAATGGTAGCAGCCCATAATTTTTTGATCTTATTCTTGCACACAACCAATGCCCTGTTCATGTCATCCACATTGTTAATTGCCACCAACAGCTGAGCTTCCAATTCAGCATTCTTCAACTTGTATTGCTCAAATTCAACCAATGCATTGTTCATGTCATCCACTTTTTTCATTGCCACCAAGAGTTGAGCTTCTATTTCAGCATTCCTCAACTTGTATTGCTCAATTTAATATTGATGTTTATTTGATTTTTCCAGCAAACCGGGTATAATATTCTTTGCTCTTGCGCAAATTTCCGGATCATACCATATAAAAAACCCGCAAAAACCAAACTTTTGCTGCAAAAATGGGATTTAGGCATATTCAGGGCATGCGAAAATTTCAATCTTAGAGTAAAGTGCATACATCTAAAAGTAAATCTCTCCTTTGCAGATCCCAAAAACAGTTATAGATTCAAAATCCCCAAAAAAAAAATACTAAATGAAGCTTCAATATTGCAGAAATTTAACAATTCAACAAACTAAATCACGGCAAGAACTTAAATCAAGCAAATAATGAATCGATTCACCAGTACAGGGATCGCACTAATGAGATCAATTCAATGATATAAAACAACATCAGTTTAATCAAACAAAAACCAACCTTTCAGATTCAAGATTCACAAACACAAATAACAACTGGTCCCCACACAATTCGAAAACACATTCGAAAACAAAATAATTTAGGGCATTCGAAAAAAATCATGCTTAGACCATATTTAGGGCATTCGAAAAAAATCATGCTTAGACAAAATAATTTAGGGCATTCGAAAACACATTCAAGATTTAGGGCATATTTAGGGCATTCGAAAAAATCACTCTTAGGGCATATTTAGGGCATTCGAAAAAATCATGCTTAGACCATATTTAGAAACAAAATGAAAACACAATTGCATAACAAAATAATTAATTACCCCATATTTAGGGCATGCCCAATATCTTCTTCCCGGATTATTTTGGGTCCAGGAGGTCTTCAAGTATACTTTATCTCCACACCAGGTCATCTCCATTGGAGCACCATTAATCTCGGAGTTCCAGCTCGAGCTTCCTCTTGAACTGCTCATTGCAAATCAAATTCCTTTTTTTTTCCCCCTCACTGTCTGCAGCTTTGTGGTACTGTAATGGAGAACCCCCGCCATTTTCTATCACTTGCAGAAGGAGACGACCGGCTAGAGAAGGTTATGGTCAGTTGACTCACGGCAACTGACGATTTGGGCAATAATGATGGATTTTGAATATTTTAGTGACTGAAATGATTAAATTGAAATCTGGGGTATCAAAATCGAAAAGTAGGTATACCTGGGGTACCAAAAGTGAAATTTTCCCATTCTATGTCATATCATATGGTTTGTTCTTAGTGGTGGTTGATTGAGTAGATTTCATTCCCTTTAGTATAGAATTTATGAAGCTAACTGTAATATTTGGGGACTTGAATATTTAAGCATGTGAAATAGGAGCATTAACTTGGATATATATAGATAAGACAAGACAACTCTGCATTTTCCTACATATTTTATTGCTTTCATTCATGTGCATGAAACTCACTTGAATATGTATATATTCTCTCCAATTCCATATATTTATTTGGAATCAATACTTTTATGATTTAATTTATCATAACTTAATGTATGTATGTGCGTAAACCTAGAGTGGCTTACTCTCATTAAAACTAATCATAGAGTATAATTTAGTGACTCATTCTAACTAAAACTAAACAGAGTATAATTTAGTGTGTGTATGTGTGTGTGAAGAAATTTGAGTTAATGACAAAGCTTTTAGTTTCTCCAAGTACTTGTTATTTCGACTTTAAAGTCCATTGGGTGTTGAGGTATATTGTTATATTGTGGCAGACATGGAGAAATGAGTAAGCCTTTTGATTTGAAACGTATTTGCATGAATAAGAGATTTGGACAATAGTCAACAGATATTTGGCTAGTGGATGTTAGATTCCTCACTAGGGAATCTTAATTCTAATTAAGAATAAATTTAAAAAAGAAAAATAAATCACTGTCAGGTTAAGAGACAGTTAATTTTGTAATGAAATCAACTATTACTTTATAGAAAAATAGCAAATAGAAATCAATGAATATTATGCAAAATAATCATGAGCATTCAGTTATGTATAAACAAAACATTTAATTAAAAATAACCAACTCTGTCAGAAGCATCCACTGGTGATTTGTGGTATATACCCAACACAACTAAACAATATATATATATATATATATATATTTAAGCCTCAATAAGAGAGATTGGAGCCCCTGATGATACAAAACTAGAATTTACCATATTATATAAACACTAAACAATAATCAATCACATCTCTTGCAGCCACACAATACTTGCAACACCAGCACGAACAATTTGAAGCCCAATGACTTGCAAAAGAGTTTTCATTCAGAGTTCTTTTGACCAATGACTTGCAAGAGTGTTCATTTCAGAGTTCATTTAGTCAGAAGCACACACCATAAAATCATGTAATAAGTCATAAAACAAAGTAAGACAAGCAACCATTCAGTTAGTCAGAAGCCGAAAGGCTCGTCTTCTTCCAGCAAACAGAAACGCCCTTTCATTGGATGACGAATATCGTCTGGGCAGAAACGACAACACAGCCCTGCACAGAATCATACATACTTTTTTTCAGAGTAGAGAAACAGTTGAAAAGTATAATTAAACAATAATTAATTAGATCATGGCATGTATAATTGCTTAGTACTATATATATACCATCTCTTTTACTGACACAATAATCCCAAGAAGTATCCACCAGTGCCAATGTCGCAAGCACATACTCATCATCAGCAACATCCGATAAATAGAACTCAGCAAACAAAACGTGTAATTCTTCTTTGGGGCCCACACTTGCCACTAAGTTCATATGCACCCAAGTTGTCTTCTTTTTAGTGAAGTCCATTAAAAGACCAGAGCATTCAAACCTATTGCACTCCAGAGCCCTTTCGAGCTTCAAATTTATTCCCTGGATTGGTATTTTTTTTTCCAAGACAACAAAAAAATAAAAAAATAAATAAATAAAGGCAAAAAAGAGAAAAAGGGTACGAAGAATTTTCCATGAAAAGAAAATAGAACTAGGAACAAGGGTTGAGCGGACTAAAATACATGTTTCTCATTGTAGTCCTGTATTGCAAATTCTGCAAATCCAGTGGCATCTTGTTCGGACAATATGATCGACTCGCAGGCCTTTTTCCTGCACGAAGTACAAGTAAAAATAAATGAATCAACTTCCAATACAAAAACATATGTAATGAATTAGCGGGCGATTACAAAGAAAAAGCTAGATTACACAGGATAAAATCCAGCACGAAATCCTGGTCTCGGACACCAAATGCAAGATGCACAAGTACAACCATATCCATGATTAATATTGCTTCCTTCAACAAATTTGTCCCCTGCAACAAACCAACAAAACCGAAACAAACACTCAGCATAAAACTAGAAAAAGCTCTAACTTGCTGAGGCATATTTAAACTTTAAGAGTGATTACAAGTTTTCGTTCCATCACATGATTTCTCCAAGCATCACCGAAAAAAATATCAAAAATAGAAAAGAGGAAAACGAATCATATCCACATAATGCAAGAAACTTCAAATTGCGGAGAGAGCAAGAAAAAACAAAAAACATCAGCAAACGGGGATACAGTTCACCTGAATAATAAGAGGGTTCCACGAGAGACAATTTAGTGTGCTTAAACTCCCTATTATCGTGATATGATTCAGCGAAGAACACGAGTGGCTTTTTGTGCTTTTTGTTACTGGAACCCACCTTTTTCCACCTAGCCACAAAATTGGAATGCTTCCAAAGTCCGCGGATTAGCGTAAAATCAACTCCAACACCAAGGGTCCACGTAGCCCATACATTGCCTTCCAATACCCTCACAAGCTCCAAGTCAGTCCCCTAGAAATTTAAAAAATATATATAAATTTAAGTATCAAACAAAACTGCATAGTTCCAATTTCAGGGGAAACCATAAAATATGAGGGGGATGAAAAATTAATAACATGTTTCTTGTTGTAGTCCCTTAATGCAAGCTCTGCCCCCTCCTCCCATTCCTCGATACGCTGTCTTACGGGCCTGCGAGATCGACAACAAGATAAATCACAACATAGAAATATTTATGCGTTATCAATTGTATAAGCACAACCATATTAAGGAATTCACAAGTTAACTAGTGACAGATTAGCATTACCAATATCATAAGCCGGAAAAAACATGGAGATGGTGAAAATGAATCAGCGCAGATAAAGAATCAAACAAAAACATCAAATTCACAATAGAAGCAATGCCCTAATTCGAAGAAAAAGTTCGCAAAGGATAAAGAAGTCCACAACTCACCCGCCGGCTTTAGTGGATACTGGATGGGTCTGTTTATACCGCATGGCTGGGAAGGGATCAATGGAAACGGAAAAAGGAAACAAGAAAAACTCGATTCGATTGATATTAGCACGGCGGTTCCGACGGAATTTAACGATTGAAATCTCAGACGTTTATCGTAAATACAAATTTTTGATTGATTGCATGTAGGTGACTTATTTGTAATATTTTTTTAGTTTATTACTCATATTTATTTTTTTAATTAATATGGATAAATAATTGTTTTTGTTATAAAAAAAAAGATATTTATTCCTGCAATATGATATCAAGACTCGTCGATAAATGACTAATTTTGTTAAATATGAAAAACTTATAATGAGTATAAAAGTAATTAATTTTAAAATATAATTATAAGCTGAGTTAGTCAATTATTTTATATTTTTAAAGGCCTTAAATAGGTGTATATTATTATACTGCCCATATCTTTTTTCTAATATTAATACTGCCTTAATATCCAAGATTCCAGAGTACGAACAGACTCCAGACGACCCACGAAATTCTTCTATTGAATACACAACCATATTCAATTTAATAACACACATTTTGCAGTTTTTGCCTTATTCCGCCGATTCGGTATCAGAGAAACTTTTCTGAATTAACTGTTGTAGTGCGATGAACGCCTGCTAATTGTTGTATTTTGCAGGAGCCTATATCAATTGAATCGAGAGGTTTACTGTTATTTTCCTTTGATCGAGCTATGAGGTTTAAAGCTCCGCCTCGATATACATTTAGAGGGTGAGTTATCGACGACTTCTTCTTGTCCTTCCTCAATTTTTTTCAATTCGGTAATTAGGGCTTTTGCTGTGTTGATTGGATTATTTGTNTGAATAAAGTCTGTTCTTCACCTCAAATGATGCATATTTGTTATTTTTTTAACCATTTCCTGATATTGCCAGCTTTTGTTATTCATAATGCTGATCTTATGCACACCACTTTCTTCACTGGTTAGCTTTTGCCTTTTATATATTGTATCTTCACTGGTTAGCTTGTGGATTTGTGCAGTTATTGTGGTGCTCAATTGATTGATAACACATAATTATTTGATGTGATGATTTTTTCTTGCAGCCCATTAAAATTCCTCCGGAGCATTTGATAATCTCTTGGCCTTGGGAGGAGGTGGCACAGCTTGCATTAAGAGACTACAACAAGAAACATGTTACTAATTTCCCATCCTTCTCATAAGTTCTGCTTTCCACTGTAAATGAAACGTTGCAGTTTTGTTTGATGCTTAAATTTTTCTGTATATTTTTAAATTTCTAGGGTACTGACTTGGAGTTTGTGAGGGTTTTGGATGACAAGGTATGGGATACGTTTTTAGCTGGTACTGGTGTCAAATTTACGATAATGCGCAGCCTTTGGAAACATATCAATTTTGAGGCCAGGCAGCAGAATGTGGGCCCCCATGACAAAGTGCAAAAACTTGTCTTGTTTTCTGAATCATATTCCAGTAATGACGAGCTTCATCATACGAAAGTTTCACTCGTGGATCCTACTTATCATGGAGGTGAATTATATAATATATCCTATCTATTGATGTTTGTGGTTTTTTCTTGTTTTCTCTGTGATTTGATTTTTGTCTCAACTTGCATTTTGCTGATATGATTTTTTGTCTATTCGTGATAATTGTTATTTTTAAAGACATTTGGTAGAATTCATGTGATTACGTGATGCAACAAAAGATATAATCAATCTTTATATGTCTCAGCTAGTTACAACTTTTCATGTTATACTCAATCCTTATCTTAGCTAGTTGCAGCTTTTCTTGTAATATGTTGTAGTGCTGTATTATATCATTGTTTGTTCTTAAACCTTGATAATAAATAAATAAATCATATTAATAAATAAAATCCAGTAATATTCATTCTGAGCAGCGATTTCAGTTTTTATTCTGAGCAGTGATTTCAGTTTATGGTTTGGTGCAGGGGAATATTGTTCTCGTTGCGAATTTCACGTTTGTTGTCCGAATCCAGGATTTCGTGCTGGGTTTTATCCCCTGTAATCTATCTTTTTATTTGTAATTGATCTCTAATTTATTATATATATTTTTCTATTGGAAAATTATTAATTTGTAATTACTTGTATTACCTGTAGAAAAAGGAGCTGTGAGACAATCATATTGTCCGAACAAGATGCAACCGAGTTTGCAGAATTCGCAATACAGGACTACAATGAGAAACATGTTTTTAGTCCACTCAACTCTTTTCTTTTTTTAGTTTTATTTTTTATTTTTTCCACATACTCGTTGGTAACCTCTTTCTTTCTTTCTTCTTCATTTTTTCTATTCGCTTGATAAATATAAAAATCCAGGGAACAAACTTAAAGCTTGAAATGGCTCTGGAATGCAATAAGTTTGAAGGCCTTGGTGTCTTAATGGACTTCACTAAAAAGAAGAGGACTTGGGTGCATATGAACTTGGTGGCTAGAGTGGGCCCCAAAGAGGAATTACTCGTTTTCTTTGCCGAGTTCTATTTATCTGATGATGAGTATGTGCTTGCGACGTTGGCACTGGTGAATACTTGGGACCCTCAGCCTGTTAGTAAAAAGGATGGTAAATAAACACCACTGGTTAAAATTATTATTGCATTATTATTTTTGTTAACATGTTAATATTATTCTTAAAAAAAAATCATTTGTGATTCTGTGCAGGGCTTTGGTGTCGTTTTTGCCTGGATGGTATTCTTCATCCAATGGAAGGGTGTTTTTTCAATTTCTACCCACCTCATGCTTCAGTTGAAAATTTGCTGGAAAAGGGGCATGGAAACTAAATTATGTTTTTGACTAAATGAACTTAGACTGCTTTTGACTAAATGAACTTGGAACTCTGGATGTAATGTTTCGCAAGCCATTTCTTGTTATGTATTATGTGGGTTGCTAGAATATAAATGTTATGTATTATGTGGGTTGCTAGAAAATTTATATATGTATGATATTCTTGGTTGCTTGATTATCCCTCGACTCTTTTCTCTTTATTCTACTTAATGTAATATGGAACATAGTAGGATAGTTGGAGAAAGACCTCCTTTTGTTAGTTTCAGCAGAGGTTATTGTCCCTCATAAATGTTCGAGGGAGGTCAGGGTTGGAGGGGGTTGAAAATGAGCTGTATAAATTATGCTTCGACTTGATATGAAATGATGTAATATATATGATACGAGTATTCATGCCATATTTACACTTAGAAAAACCTCAAGATTTTTGAGTCGCATGTCATTTCATCACAAGTATAATAAAAAAACACACCACGGGTAAGTCTTTTGTTTCAATGTCTCTAGAATTCTTCAATTGACATTCCATTTGAGATGCTCGTACTTTCAATGTGTTTTTGATGGATGCCTTCGCTTCTTTATCTTTTGGTGCTCTTTTTGTATTTTTTTAATCATTTAATTCAAGACTATGATTTCAAAATCTGAGTCTATTTTTTCTTAAGCTTTATTTCGTGGTATGTAAATGAATAACTTATTCTTCATTTTAATATAATTTACCATTTAAGAGATAGTTACCAGATACACTAAATAGTTTTACTAATAGTCAAAAACTAACATTGAAATATATCAAATGTTTTCTAGAATTTATTTGTATATTATTGGCAACCATGATTATTTTTTTTTAACACTTTTTTTATTTTGATATCTTTCTATAGTGAAATTATTGTAAAACATATTTTTATTGCAGCGTATGCTAAATAAACTATAAATTCTTATAATGAAAATTATAAATTTCTTAATTATAGAAAGGATTGGGATTTTGACGTTTGTTAAATTAAAGTTGTTTAATTAGTATACAAAATTATATTCTAAAAAAACATATGTGTATATTTTATAAAATATTTATACATTATTTAATTTTAAATTTGTTTACATCTTTTAAATTGATTACATAAATAACTAATACCAACGTGCATTAAATATTTTTCATTACATAAAATAAAAAAACAAGAAGACGTACAACTTCTATAACATTTATAAATAATAATGTCAGTATATGACAACAAATTTTATAATAAAATAATACTTAACTATTATATAATGAACAAGAATAAGTAAAAACTGCTATATTCTCTTATATCAAGGAATAAATATATATACTAAAATCAAAATTTATATTAGTATAGATGTGTTAATATATTAATTATTTTACAAGCTAGCCCTAACATGATCACATTTAATGTTCTGACTAAAAAAACAACGCTGATTAAAAGAGGTGGAAATATGTAGATTATAACACTATTGTTTTTCAGACTTACGCAGGTTAAAAGATGTGAAAAATGGATGATACCCCGTTGTTGTTTAGACTTAAACGGACAAAGCCCTCGAAAATAACTCATTTAATATATTTGTCTCGTGCATCGCATAAGGTATTAGTCATGTTTCCCAAAACGTACGGCTTAATAGAACCAACTTAGCTATCTGCACTTAGGAATTGACGTCACTTTATTTTGTACTAGTATTTGGCCCGTGCAAATGCACGAGATATATTGTCCGAACAAGATGCAACCGAGTTTGCAGAATTCACAATACAGGACTACAATGAGAAACATGTTTTTAGTCCACTTAACTCTTTTTTTTTTAGTTTTATTTTTTATTTTTTTCCACAGACTTGTTGATAACCTCTCTTTTCTTTTTTTCTTCATTTTTTCTATTCACTTGATAAATATACTAATACAGGGAACAAACTTGAAGCTTGAAATGGCTGTGGAATGCAATAGGTTTGAAGGCCTTGGTGTCTTAATGGACTTCACTAAAAAGAAGAGGACTCAGGTGCATATGAACTTGGTGGCGAGAGTGGGCCCCAAAGAGGAATTACTCGTTTTCTTTGCCGAGTTCATTTATCGGATGATGAGTATGTGCTTGCCACGTTGGCACTGGTGAATACTTCGGACCGTCAACCTCTTAGAGCATTCACAATGCTTTGAGTTCAATCCCAAAAAATTACATGCCACATAAGAAATAGACTCAATCTGAAAGAATATATTCTCCAATGCAAATAAAAGTAGACTGAGTCTTGCTGATGTGACAGTCAGAAAAAAGAGACTTGATCTCCCTTTAAATTTATTTTAGACTCAAGTAGAGACCTAGTCTCTTTGCATTGGAGTGAATTTTATTAATTTTGCATAGTTTTATCCATGTCATCTAAGACTTGAGTTTATTTACTTGCCATATAGGCAAGACTAGACCCAATGCATTGAAGATGCTCTTAGTAAAAAGGATGGTAAATAAATACTACTGGTTACAATTATACAAGTCTTTATTTATTGCATTATTATTTTTGTTAATATGTCAATATTATTCTTAAAAAAATTCATTCGTGGTTCTGTGCAGAGCTGTGGTGTCGTTTTTGCCCAGATGGTATTCTTCATCCAGTGGAAGGGTGTTTTTTTAATTTCTACCCACCTGATGCTAGCAGTTGAAAATTTGCTGGAAAAAGGGCATGAAAACTCTTTGCACTAAGCTGTGTAAATTATGCTTTGACTTGATATAATATGATGTACTATAGGATATGAGTTTTCATGCCATACTGTATTCTTTAATTCAAATTTTATGATCATCATCTTCTAACGGAACAAATGTATAGATAACAGAGGAAAAAAGAACCATAGTACAAAAGAACATTTGAACAATTTACATTTGCAAATCAATTCAAGATATTATGCTAGTGTATTCATTACACTTTGGACAATGCTGAAATCACAAGTAATTTGTTTAGGAGGATGACCTTCTTTTTCAAATCTGGTCTTATTCATGTGTGGGATCTTATATTTGTTTGGACCTCATTATTTCTCGCATGAAGAGTTGTACACTCAAGGCAAGTTGAGCATTTTTTCGTAGCCATATTTTATGTAAAGTCACTGTCCTCCAATGGGTGTCTTCTGAAGACTTGATACACCTACGATTCTCTGTCCAATGTTTGTTTCATTAATCAAGATTCGCTGAAATGTGGTAATAGTATTAAAGTAACACCTAACAATGACAATGCGTCAGAACAATACCTACCCAAAACTCTATTCGCCATCCCAACTCAAAAGAAATGTGCTGTTAATAAGTGCACCATGGCATTGAATTTTCACCAACCCAAAAAGGAGAAAAAGCAAATTGGCATTTATGAACCTCGTAGTCTTAACTGAATATTCATCTTCCCCTCCAATGCTCAATGTTGTAGTACTAAATTACATTCTAAATTAACACATTTATTAATATTACAACTTTTCATCCTCCAATGTACAATGTGATCACAAATATTGTGATGATGTGGACATAATTAATGTCTACAATGTAGAGAAGAATGTGGATCATCCACATTCTTCTCCACATTCTAGTTAGCCAATGAAGAGAAGAGAGAGAATTACTATTACCATTTTTAAGCTATTTAATTATTTGATTAATTTTATTAATTCATATTAAAATTTTAATATTTAGTAAGTAAATAATATTGTAATTTGACTACATTGTGCATTGAAGATGATTTTTTAATTTAATAGTTGTGAACTCAACATTTGTCCTACATGGTTCACAATTTACTTAATTTTTTGACATTTGTCAAAATTTATCCTACGACAATATTAGAGCATTGGAGATGCTCTTAGTAAGTGTCGTTTTGAGAAATTGCACAGTAATTAAGAATCTTTTTGTTGTCAATAATAACCCTCATTAATGAGGACAGAGATAGATGTTTTGAGAAAAGATGAAGAGTGAATATAAAAAGATGTAGTGTATTTATTAGTTAGATGAGGGTAATAATGAAAAAATGTTTGTCCATTTTTGTTGTGTTTTTCTTTGTTATTTTTCATCTCTTTTTTCCCCCGTTTTAGGTCTTTTCATTAGTCTTTATTTTTTTTTATAGTTTATTGTGCGTTTTATTTTATTTTGGTTTATCTATTTGTTTCTCGGGTATTTTTCCGGTTTTTTTCGTCTTTGGTGTGCAGGATGGAAGGCTCGGGAGGATCTATTTTCATGATAATGGGACCGGAAAAACTTAACTGAGTAGAGCGTTTCGTTGGCAACACACAGAAGAAAACAAAATCGAATTCCGTTTCGGAACGAGTTCGAACGAACACGAGACGCGAAGTAATGCATTCATGGCTGAGCTCCAAGACCGTCGCGCCAGGCATCGCGTCGTGGATCCTGCCACGGGCCTTCTGGGACGTGTTTTTCCTGCACCACGCAGCGGGGGTCCGACACGCCGCGGCTTCGCACCTCCACCACACCGCGAGCCCTCCATCACGCCGCGGCAGACTTCATTCCTCCACGCCGCGCCATCTACCACGAGTGGACAGAGTCTCCTAGCGAATTCAGCCATCACGCCGCGTGGACCAGCCACGGCGCGGCACCAGCAACCTTCACGTCGCAAGGTCCAGCCACGGCGCGGCAGCAGCTCCCATCTCGGCGTGGCACCTCTCTCACAGCGCGGCACAGCAGCTCTTCACGGCGCGAGACCCCTCATGACGCGGCAACTTTGCGACTATATATATGTTAGATCGGGATATTCGACAGACATCTTTCGACGGGAAAAATCATAGAAACCCTTTCCCTTCTCTTTTCATTCGTTTTTCACTTTTCTTCCATAGTTTTCAACGTAGAATAAGGATTTAAGCTCGGATTTCATTATTGCTTCCGGATTTCAAGCTTGTTTATCGAATTCAACTTTGAAATTTATCAATCGTAAGCTTTTCTTTTAACTTAATCGTTAATTATGAATTCTTGGGTTGAGATTGCTTGTGTTGATTATTCGATTATGAGTAGCTAAATCCCATTGCTAGGAATAGGGGATTGATGTTTTGAATTCGTTTGCAATTATCATATGCGTGATTGTTCAATTTGTACGAGTTGAACTTTTTCTAGGGTTTTTCATAGCTAGAAATAGGCTCGTATGAACTAGGCTTGTTCATAACTGTATTGCCTAGAAGTTAAATGAATTGTTAATTCGCCGTTCTAGTTTGTTCTCTTGTTACGAAAAGTTATTGAGAATGAGTGCTTGAACGTGTCAATTAGTCAAATCACTTAACCGAACAATCTCTTGCTTGATAATTGCATTTTCGAACCAAAACGGATATCCCCGACTCCCTAGCTTCTTAAATCCTGATTGTTCTTCGTTGTCGCTTGCTATTTCTATTTGCTTATTTGAAATTTTTCTTCGTAGTTA